CTTTCCTGACTATCTCCCTGCTTTTACCTTCTGCAACTAGGGCAGTGTGGCTGGAATATTTGCCAGTGAAGGCAACAGGCTGGGCATTGGACAGTGGGTGCTGAGCCATTGTACTGTGCATCATCTGTTTCTCTTGGGGTTTACTCCTCTCTCTCTCACTCATGCTAATAATAACAACAGCAATAATTTCATCTCCCTGTCTGTTTGGACAATTTCTCTGTATTATTCCCAAGCTACCATTCCTTTTTCCATGCTCTGTAAGCTACCTATTTGTGTTTTGAATTTGTCTAGGGGTTCCTTGTTCATCCATACAGGCCTCCTGACATTATTTTCTAATTTTCTCTTTGGTGGGACACATTAGTCTTGAGCCTTGAGGAAACAATCTTTGAATGTCATCCAGCCCTCTATGCTCAGGGCTCTGTCCCATGGTATTCTGCCAGAGAGATCCTCCAAGAGGACAAATTCACCTCTCCTGAAGTCCAGCGTAATTATCTTTATCTTGCTTCTCACTCTCCTTGTTGCCCCAAGGATCTCAGTTTCCTCTGTTTCATAGTCACTGCAGCCCAACCTGCCTTTGGGTTCCACATTCCCCATCAGCTCCTGGTTGCTGAGAACAAGAATCAGCCTAGCACCTCTCCTCTTTGGCTCTTTTATCAATTGGAGAGGGCAGTTGTCATCAGTGAACCTCCTGGAATACACGTGTTCTACTGTCCTGAGCCTCCAACAGGCTGTCACAACCCAGAAGTGTGTGTGAGGTTTCTTGTAAATTCTCATCTGTCTCAACAAAGTTCACATGTTTATACAGTAGCCTTAACTCCAGCAATTAGCCTACTATTTAGCTGTAAAAAGTTGGCTAACAAGCTCTCCAACTTCTATAATACTCTTTCAAACTAGCTCCCAAATGTCACAATAAACTTCAGGTGTTGAGTAAGTGGTAGAATATGATTGCTGGGATAAAACAGGAGAGAAAAAGGTGGAAGAGAGAGACAGACAGACACAATGCTGGGGACCAATCCCCTTTTATGGCTTACCTGAAATAGGTTTTTTTGGTGCTGTTTGTTCACATGTGTGCAGTCAGTTATTTAGAGCCCTCCAGGAAATGAGGGAATTAGTGGACTGTGGTATCCTGGAGCCCCTTTTAGTGAGGTGTCTGAAACTTGACACTTGACATGGGTGCACTCAGCATAAGTCTCAAGGCAGCCTTACAAGCTTAACAATTTATGAAGGAAAACAAATATGTCTCAGAATAGGACTGACAGCCCCACCTCTGCAGGACCCTCAATCCAGTCAACACTTTCCTGTTGCAGTGGTTGGAATCCCCCATGAGGACCAGGGCTGGTGAATGTGAGGCTTTTCTTCTCTGCCTGTGGTGGGCTTCATTGGTCTTCTGGTGGCCTGTAGCAGGCCTCTACTATAAAACTACCTGTGCTTGCCCTCCCTTTAATCCTCACCCAAAAGCTCCTTGGCCATTCCAGGTGGAGTTCCGTGCACTCCTGGTGGTCACTGACAGAGAGGTTGACACCTCTGCCTCTTGTCCCCTGCCTGTCCTTCCTGAAGAGACTGTATCCTTCCATTCCAACACTCCAGTCACCGGAGTTGCCACCATGTTTCCATGATGCCATTGAGATCATAGACATGCAGACATGCCTATATCTCTACTTCATTCCCTATGCTGGATGTGTTAGGATAGATGCATTTAAGTTGGGTCACCCAGAAAACTACCTTCTCTCTGGAGTGGCTGGAATCCCTTTGAGCTGCCCTCCAGGTGTTCTGCGGACCTGCAATTCCTCTCCAGACTCTGGGTGTCTCTTGCTGGCTCTGGCATCTAACTGATATAAGTAGGATGGCAAGTCATTCCCATACCTTATCACTATTAAATAGGATGATACCTCCCTCCTCCCAGTCATAAATTGTTTAAAACTGTGTCAATGACTCCTGCTAACCCTTTACCAAAGACCCTCTTTTCCTTTTGAGAGAGGTGATGCTTCTGATCCCATCTGATGCCAGCAAGATTGGTGCTATCTTAGCTATCCCACTGTTAACAACCCAAAATTTTGGCAGTGACACAAGCCTCAGAGCCACATGTTAACAGACTTAATCCATTTGTTTATTTCAATCACTTCCTGCAAGTGGAACAGTGGAGGAAAAAATAACCTGCGCGCTGATTCCTTCACCAATTGTCCCAAGGCTTTGAAGTCTGTGATGGCCTTTGGACTGACTACATGTTGTGATTTCATCACCACTCTCATCAAGGATCAGCTGTGGGTAGTAGTCCAAGCACTGTACCAGGCTGGGAAATTTCCTAGTGACTTCCTTAATCTTTACCTCAGGGGTGCAGCAAACTTCCTTGAGGGGAATATCCTTCCAAGCATGTTGGACCTTCCATTCCCCTGAGAAGGGAATCATCTACTACTACAACCATTATTTTCTTTCTCATGGAACTGATCTTGTTATGAACTCTGGGCCTGTCTGGCCTTGATAACACCTCTGGTTATCAAGGTGGAGAGGGACCTTCATCCTCATCATCTGTTGCATGACCTTTCTTACCTGTAACTATTGTACAGAGAGGCACCTAAAGGGAGGGTGAGATGGGCAAGGAGGCATCTTGACCTGTTGTCCCAAGCAAGTACTTGCCTCTGTTCATTTCATTCTGACCTTCAGGCAGAGGGAGCTTACATGACACTTTGATAAGAAAGGATAGAGAGCAAGTAGTTTCTGTAGAATAATCTCTACTTTTTTTAGTTATTTCACAGTGATCATTAGGATCTCCAAAGAAACAAATTCAACTTAAGTGTGCCTTACTGGGACCTTGAATTTAAAAAAAGCTCAGACTACCTCATTATTCAGTAGGCAGATCTTTTTGAGAATACAGTCCATGACATCTAAAAAGTCTGTCAGATGAAAGGCAAGGGTGATGTGGAGAAGAGAACAGTTTTTACCAAGACACTAAATCAATTAATCTAACTAGCACAAATGCTTTCTTGAGACATCATTCAGCTCACCCTTTTTAAGCATTTCAGTTGTATGTTACAAAGAGACATTACATTTGAAGAAAAATTTCATTGCAATTCAGCAGGAGATAAAGTTGACCTAAATTCCATACTGAGCCTTTACTTAAGCTTACTTCTTGAAGTAGAATCAATATTTATCAGTAACTACTGTCAACTAAACTAGCTTTCTAGTGGTAAAAAAACTGAGCTATTTTTTAATAGAAGTTTTAGTTTTGTCTGAAAATATAGCAGGAACACGCTTCATAGATAGGATAGATTTTTTATTTCATCTTTAATGATGAAAGAAAACCCACGCTTACTGGTTTAACATTATTTTATAATGTTTCTCTTTGTTCACCTCTCCCCACTTCTCCCCCTTGCCCCTTTATCCATCTCTCTTTAAAATTCTCTCTTCAGAGTTATCATCTACCTATTTTAGATGAGCACTTAGATAACTTGTATTTGAAATCTGCAGCTTGCATTTTGGACCAGAAGGGCATGTGTGCCTGAAGGTTGTCTCTTCATTTTGCTGCTTTCTTTGCTGTGGATCAAGTGACCTGACAGGATTGTCTGCAAAACTGCCTTGCCTGATTATCAAACTCCTGCTAGAAAATGTAACTGATGCAAAAAAAAAAAAAAAAAAAAAAAAAAAAAAAAAAAAAAAAAAAAAAAAAAAAAAAAAAAAAAAAAATCTAAAAGTTACAATGTGATGATCTGAACTGACAGTTATCATTTAAATTACTCAAAATGTGTGCCTTCAGTATTGGGAATCTGACTGCAAAATGGCTGGTTTTGTAAAGCTGCTTAATTCTCTTCTTGGTTCAGTGACCCTGGCTGGATGTCAGGCACCCACCAAAGCTACTGTGTCCCTCCCCTCTGCAGCTGGACAGGGTCAAGAAAATACAAAAAATGGTTCATAAGTTGATAAGGACTGGAAGATATTGCTCATCAAATACTGTTATGGGAAAAACAGGCTGGAATTAGATACATTAGTTGAATTTATGAGTAACAAAATCAGAGCGGGATAATGGGGAGTAAAAACAGACCATAAAAACACCTTCCCCCTACTCCTCCCTCCTTTCTAGCTCTACCTCCTATCCCCATCAGTGCAGAGGGACAGGGAATAGGGGTTATGATCAGTTCATCACAAGTTTTTTCTCCCACTGCTTAGGGAGAGTTATTCCCCTGCTCCAGCAGGGGGTCCCTCTCATGTGAGACAGTTCTCCATGAGCTTCTCCAACATCTCAGTCCATCTCATGGGCAACAGTTCTCTACAGACTGCTGAAGTGGGTCACTGTTCATAGGGCGCAGTCCTTCATGGACAGGCTGCTCTAGTGTGGGCCCCTGCAGTGTCACAACCTACAGGAAACCTGCTCCACCATGGGCTGCTCTCTCCACAGGTGTGCAGGTCCCTGCCAGGACCCTGCTCCAGCACAGGTTTCACATGGGGTGACAGCCTCCTCTCAGGCATACAACTGCTCCAGCCTGGGGCTCCTCCACCAGCTGCAGGTGGATCTCTGCATCCCCATGGACATCTATGGACTGCAGGGGCACAGGTGCCTCACCATGGGACACACCATGGGCTGCAGGGGAATCTCAGGTCTGGTGCATGAAACACCTCCCTTTCTTTCTCCAGTGACCCTGGTGTCTGAAGAGTTGTTCCTCTCATGTGTTCTCACCCCGTTCTTTTCTGGCTGCAGTTACATCTATGCAATCATATTCCCCCCCTCCTTCTTAAATCTGTTTTCACAGGAGCATTACCACCATTTCTGATTGGCCCAGCCTTGGCAGCAATCCCCGTCTGTCTGAGAGCCAGCTGGGATTGGTGCTATAGGGGGTGGAGGAAGTTTCCAGCAGCTTCTCACAGAAGCCACCCCTGTAGCCACCCCCCTTCCCCAATTACCACAACCTGGCAAAATAAAATAAATTATATTAATAAAAAGACCCAAAACATATCACTTTATAGTTAAGGTGGCAGGCAGCTTTTGCCTGTATAGATAACTTGCACAGTTTGGGATTGATAGCATTTCATTTTTATTTCCTCATTTTAGCACTGAAAAATGTTTATGCTGTAGTAGGTACAGTATTTACACAGCATGCTACTAATTGTGCTTAGCATAAAGTCATGAGGATGTATAGTGCATGTATCTTGCATAGATATTTTGTGCTTAGAGATAGAGAAAGCAATTTCTAACTCCAGGTGTTTCCTTCTTGGTTTTTGCTGCATTTCCTAAATACATTTCAAAATACACACAGAGCACTGGCATCCAGATAAGCTGTGCTAAATATTAATAGCCTGCCCAACTAACGTGAATATGACATCCCTAGAATAGTGGTGTTAGTTTAAAAACAACATAAAACCCAAAAAATATTCCCTCATAACAAAAAGACCAAATGAAACCAAACTCAAGTAAATTAAATGTTGTAGAATGTAAATGTTGTGTTTGGGCAGGTATTGTTCTGCTCCCTTTTTCTTCCACTGCACACATGCACAGCTTGATAAAATCTGAGAGTAGTTTTATGTGCTTAGTAATGCAATAATTCATGTTAAATCTATTAATTTGTAATGCACAGAACATAACTGAACAGAAAAAATGCTTTGTTATCTTTCAGAATAGCAGGTAACAAGCAACTGATTAGGTTGACAACAACCTTCTTTGCAGCATCTTTTAAGTAAAAGCAAAATGTAAATCTATTAAAAGGGTAAGGGAAGGAAATATTCCCAACATAGGAACAAAGACTAAGAAATACCCTGACCTGATTTGAAGAAGCTGAACTGCCTGTAAGTATGAACTTTGTTTTAGAAGCCTTCCAAAATCCAAGCTACTTACATAAGACTCTCTGAAGGAGAATTATTTTTAACTGCTGAGTACAATTATTTTGTTGGTGGTGAAAGTGGTGAAACCACTTTGAGAGTATTCTGTAAGTGCGGACAAGTGGGTCTGAAAATTAGTTTGGTCTTCTCAGAACTCACACTTAAAAAAAAAATAATTGAAGGTCTGTTTGTATCTGTGTGTGACAGGATGCAACTGCTGTAGAGTGTCCTGTTCTGGCTTTATTGTGTATTGTATTTATTGTATGTATTTTTTAATGGGTACATTAGTCAACTGTTTGTAAAATGGTGTATTGGAAAAGATGAAGACCTCATTAACAGCAGAGGTGTCACAGGAGGGTGCTGTATCTGTGATTTTCATAGCTACAAAATTTGTACAGGTCTGACAAGTCACTTGATCTGAAGGGGTCTCTGAAATTTGAGGGTATTAAGCATACAGACATCCCTGTCTCTTGCACTTACTTAACTTTGCTTCTATATCTTCAGCTTGCACCCTGCAGTAGACTGAAACTGGTAACTGCTTGGTATTCTCGCTTCAGGTCACAGGAACACACCATGTCTGGGTAGGTTAATGCCTAAAATCCCAACTCAGTGTCTAAAAATTGCTGCTTTCAGTAAGATAACGCCCATTTATTGCACTAATTTAAGCACAGTAGTTTGTCTATTAAACCACAAAGCCCTTACTATTTTCATAGTGAGAACCATGACTAATGTTTTTCAACTACTTACCCAGGTAAAAATTGCCCTAAAGATGCTTTTGAACATGAGGTACTCTTCTACGAGAGTTCATCTATACCCCAGGGATAAAAAAAAAAAAAAAAAAAAAAAAAAAAAAAAAAAAAACCAAAAAAAAAAAAAAAAAAAAAAAAAAAAAAAGCATGACACAATAAAAATAATCCATGTGTGACAGCACATGGAGATGTCTCCATTTGGACAAGACTCAAATCTTTCTGACTAATAAAAACTTCAGAAACTATCTGGAGTTTTTATAACATTAAGCTGAAAAGGCATGACATGACATGAAGTACTTTTTGAAAAATACCTTGGTGGTAAAAAAGGACTTTAAATTCTCTGAGCTAAGTGACTGATTGGGTATTTGGAATTTTCTTCTAATCTTCATCAAAGAAGATGAGAAAAATACATATTAGGAATAGTTTGATCAAAAGCTTTAAAGCAATTGCATTGACATGCACTGAGGTACCCACCAGCACTGGGAAGTGAAGGAAAAGGTCCAACTGTAAAAAGTTTTCAAAAATAAGGAGATGTCTCTCAACCTTGCATTCAATACCTTAAATCACTGGTTGACTCACACTTGGCTGCAGTGTGTACATTTGTACATGAAAGCTCTAAGTTCAGAGTCAGTATGATGCCACTTAAGCTGTATTTCTAAAGCTTTTCATTCAATTAAATTTTGTATATTGCATCGTCACCACTACCTTTTTCTTTTCTCACATTTTTCAGCTTGGTGGCCAATGCATACAGTAAGAGATCAGGAAAGTTCTCATGTAGTCATAAGTGCTCTGGTGAGGTCAACAAGGATACAAACACAGAACCTACAACTTGATGAAAATCCAGCAGTGAGACAGGAATAGTGTCATGTATGGAACTTCATCATGCATGTTCCTGCCTCTTCTAGGAAAATGGTGTTATTTTTAAGAAAGCTGTAAGTTATTTAATCTTGTAATAGCAGATATGCCCATCTCAGTGTCTGACAGAGTAAATATTAAAATTTAGAAAATAAATTGTTCTGTGTGATCTTTGCCAGGATCCTCAAAAGCAGGTTCTTACTAAAAGGAGAGTGAAGGGCTTGAAAAGTTAACAGTTTTTGCAAATTACATCTTGTATGTCTTACAGAGCCATGATTAAAAAAATGAGTAGTAAACCAGCTCTTAAAAATAAGTTGGTTTGATTTAATAATCAATTTAATAATTAAAATCCTGTCTCATAGCCTTGCTATCCTTCAGGGAATTTCTGTATGTGTCATTCAGAAAATTACTCTGGCAAAGCCTCACCCTGAAGAATGGCACTCTCAATCTGTAGCAGTATTTCTGGGAGAGATTTTTCTATACTGACAGTAATGAAGTTTTCTGGTGCACTGGGTGGCTCTAGAGTATCAAACTGAGACTGGAGAAGTTCTAGTGGCATAAAATGACCTTTCCGCTTCTTCAGGCGCCCAGCAATGATGTCCTTAGGTCCATCCAAATGAACAAAGAGGATCTTCAGTGCTGGGTTGTCTCCTGGTTGCTCTGTCTGGTTGCTTTCAATTGCAGATGTTCCACCAATTAACACACGCCTGTACATCTTCTTCAGTGCAGAACAAGCCAGAATTGTATCTTGTCTAGATGTGTCTTCTCTATAAAAAAAAAAATACAAAAACCTTTACATATCTACATGTAGTATAACAAAAATGGCTTGTTAGTTCTGCTGAACAAGGCAGATATGCCCTAGCTCCTCAAGAAGGTCAGCCATGGGAGTAGAAGCATTTTGACAGTGATTTTGACAGGATTTTGAAACCAAATTTCCAGTCCAAGTAAAGATGTGATTTGAAAGTGAGGCCAAGCTAGCCAGCCTTCTGGTAAAATCTCAGTCTTAGGGACCTTTATTAGCTACCATTCTTTCCTAAATTAAATTCAATTCTAGCACAAGGAAGTGTCAAGCTCATTTCATTAATTACTGAGAACAGGAACTAAATATCCATAGAAACACCTGTCCCTTGTCTATAAAATTACTATACTGTTCTCTCTAAGGGTAAGGGGCTGATAAGCAATACAGACCACTGTTCTTAAATACACAATATTTTCAACACCTGCTGTCACTGTCTCAGATTTAACTGTAATTTATGTTTCCTGCAACTCATTGGTAGCATTGCATCTATACTCACTTCAGCTTAATCAAGGGATTGCAGTTCAGTGAATGTGTTGCATACGTATTTTCTGCTGACAAGGTTTCTTTAAATAAAGCATTTAACTCTGGATGTGTCTGTTCCACCAAAAAGCAAATCCAGAATTGGCTGTCTCTATGATGAGTGAATAAAATTCCTGCCTGAGAAAATATATTTTGTAATAAAATTAATATCAGGTAGACACCTATTTAAAAATCATTGTATGGTTATCAGATTTTGGTTCAAAGGGAAGTAAGAAGTTCTAATACCTACCATTATCACCTAGTGACAGCCTCAGCTACTTATAATTAAACATTGGCATTAGGCTTTTTTAAAAATATAGTTGATTTTGTGAAGTTTACAGAGCTGGGCAGTGCATTGAGCTATCACATAACCGAAGCAATGGATCCAGCAAATCAACCCAGACAAATTTCTCCGTGAGAAATGAGGTATGCTCACCTAATGTGCACAAGCAAGTGTAAAGCCTGGCTAAACAGTCCCTGCCCTCCCAACCTTTTCCTTTTTAGGACACACTTCAGTCCCTTCATCATTGCTGGATGCTCTCCAGTATGTCCATGCCTCTCATAATGAGGAGCCCGAACTGACACAGCAGTTCAGGTGTGGCCTCACCAGTGAAAAAGGGGAGGGAAGGATCATCTCCTTTGATCTGCTGGCAATACATGGTCTAATATAGCCCAGGATTCAGTATTTTGCTGGCCTCCCTTGCCAGAAGAGCACATTGCTGGCATATATCCAACTGGGGCCATCCACCACAGCTCCCTCAGGCCATTTTCTGCTGCTTTCCAGCTGAGTGCCCCTCAGTGTCCGTACCAGTGCTTGGGGTTGTTCCTTCCCAGGGACAGGATTTGAATTTTTAAAAGGTTCCTACCAATTTGTTTCTACAGCCTTTCAAGGTCCCTCTGCCTCAGTTACTCCTCCCATTTTGATGTCATCTGCAAATTAGCAGAGTACACTCAAGCAAACAAACAATGTCAAACTTACTTGACACAGTAACTTATTAAAAATAACAGTATTTAATCCTACTATTGTTATTGGTGTATTTTGTGGTTATGTTCTTTGTAAGTACCTAACATAAGGCTTATTAATAAACTGGATCCTTGAGATTATTTTTACACAGATAGTAGAAAAAACAACCATCATTGGTAGCAATTTCCCACTTTATTTCTCAGGGATTAGCTCACCATCAGCAATTACCATGATAGTTTAGATTAGTAAAAATAGAATGATTTTATGATCTGCAGAATTTCTTTACAATACCACTTACATTTCTGCTTTGCAATGCAGTGGGGAAAACACTTCTGGTACTTCTGTCTTTAGCTAAAACATCTAAAAACTAAATATTTTCTTACCTCCTTAGTATATCATGCAATGCACAAAGCCAAGGAATCCTGTCCTAGAAAGAAAACAAGTTAGTTAAATTCTTCAGAAATTAATTTGAAACAATTGCTTCTAGCATGTCAGATATTTGACTAGAGGTAAATATTAGTATTAAATTGTACAGTAAGTTCAGTTTTGAATCTCTCTCTTCCTACATAGATATGCTCCCACTGCCTGAAGGCTAATAAGATGTGCTAGGCACATTATGAATAGGATGCTTTTAGTGGAATAATACTTTTTATATTACAGGTCCCTACAAGTATATGATGGAAGTAATATGTATGCAAATGCAGCATGCACCTTGTAAACCCTCTGAAGGACAGTCAACTTATCTCTTGCTTCTATTATACTATTCAAATGTACAGCTGGAGTTATTTCTTTTCCCTGATATAGTGTCATACACACATCCCATTCCCATTTTGCATCCAAGTTGAAGTTTCAGTAACAGACAGATCTAAATTTAGTTATCTGCAATAATTATGTCAGTAGCGCTCACAAACAAATGTAACCACAACTACAATTCCTCAAAACTTTTGCCCATTACTTAGGCAAACACAAGTGATCAATCAGATACTTAATATGAAATTTTAAGCTGCTGCAAACTTCAGTCATACCTAATGAGCACTAAATAGCTGCTCCCACCTAATGTTTCAATGCTGTTACTGCTGGGTGAACACAACAAATGATAACATGAGCAAATAAATGCAACAATTTTTTGCTGCTCTCATTACACAGTAACTTCCCCTAGGCATTCAAGAAGGCCCTCACAATTTTGCACCTCTCGTTTTTCAGAAGAGATGCTTTCCTCTTGCTGAGCACCAGACACCAGTGGTTTAGTCATTCAAGTGTATAATGCTGCTACAGACAACTTACACGCTTCCAACCACTAGTGAAAGATTTAAGTTTTTAACCAGAATCTAGAATATTTTTTTCAGTTTAAATTGGCTAAGGACATCTCCCAAAAGATTTGAGGGACCAAAAGAAAAAAAATAGTGAAGCCTTGCCAAAAAAAAAAAAAAAGGAAAAAGGGTAGAAGCTTTGCAAAGTTTTTCTATTACACCTAGATTCTTAAAGTCTTTTTCAAAATATCATATTACTGCATCTTGCCCTGTTTCTAGGCTCCATATGCTTTTAGATTGATTTCATGTGTTCACTGGGATTGTTTAGTTTATATTCTTTGTTTAAGACTCTTTATCTACAGTCATAAGTGTATATTTCTCTAGACGTTGTGGACATTAACTTTTTTAATTTTTCCTGATTCTTTACAGTAAAAGTGGCTTTAACTGTAAAACTACTGTCCTAATTGATAGCAAATGGAAAAATCCTTTTTTTCAAGCTGTACCATTATGCTACTAGTACTTCAAGCATTGCCAGCCCATCAAGGGATGGGATTGTCCTACTCTGCTCTGCACTGGGCCAGCCTCACTTTGAGTCCTGTGTGCAGTTTTGGGCACCACAATATAATAAGAATAAAAATATATTAGAGAGCATCCAACATCCAAAGGAGGGCCTTGAGGGGAAGCTGTATGAGGAGTGGCTGAGGCGCTTGATTTGTTCTGCCTGCAGAACAGAAGACTGAGGACAGACCTCATTGCAGTTACAACTTGCTGTGAGAGGAGGAGGAGGGGCAGGCACTGATCTCTTCTCTGTGGTGATCCACTGATTGCCAGGGAATGGCCTGAAGTTGTGTCAGGGGAGGTTAACATTAGGTATTAGAAAAAGGCTCCACCTCAGAAGGTGGTTGAGCACTGAACAGGCTTCCAAGGTAAGTGGTCACAGCACCAACCTGACAGAGTTCCAAAGCATTCAGTCAGCACTCTCAGGCACATGCTGCAATTCAGAATAATGGTAGCATTGGGCTTGGAAAAGATCTTGAGGATCATCAAGTCCAACTTTGACTCAATACCACCCTGCTAATTAAACCATAGCTTGTAACCAATTGTCTACTTGTTTTTTTACACACTTCTAGGAATGGTGACTACACCATATTATTAAGCAGCTAATTCTAATGCTTAGCCACCCTTTCAGTGATGACATTTTTCCTAATACTCAACTTGAACCTCCCCTAGCACAACCTGAGACCGTTTTCCCTAGTGCTATTCCTTGTTACCTGGAAGAAGAAGCTGATTCCCATCTCACCACCTTTCTGGTAATTGTAGATTGATAAGGTGTCCCTTGAGCCTCCTTTTCTCCAGGATAAAAACACCGCTACCTCCCTCATCTGCTCCACACAGGACTTATATTCCAGACCCTTCACCAGCTCCTTTGCCCTTCTCCGGACTGACTCCAGCACCTCAATGTCCTTCCTGAATTAAGAGGTCCAGACCTGGACACAGCACTCAAGGTGTAGCCTCACCACTGTGAGACACAGGTACAGGGGGACAATCACTGCCCTGGTTTTGCTAGCCACACTATTGCTAATAGAGGCCAGGATGCCACTGGCCTTCTTGGCCACCTGAGCGTGTGCTGACTCATGTTCACCTGCTGCCGACCAGCACTCCCAGGCCCTTTTCTGCTGGACAGCTCTCTAGCCTCTCTGCCCCAAGCCTGTAGTCCTGCCTGGGGCTGTTGTGACTCAAGGGCAGGACCTGGCACTTCACCGTATTGAAACCTATTGATCCAGCCCATTGATCCAGCCTGTCTGGACCCCTCTGCAGAGCTTTCCTGCAGACTTACTGAATGCAGTCAATCCCCTCCATATCATTAATAAAGATGTTATTGGCTGTGATGCTGATGCCTGTAGCTCCATTCACCAACAGCCTCTAGGCCAGACAATCCAGCCACTTCTTAACCAGTGAACAGTGCACTCATCCTAGACATAAAAGCCAGTTTCTCTAGGAGGATGCTTTGGGAAATGGCATAAAAGGCTTTACTAAAGTCCAGGCAGACTGTATCGACAGCATTTCCCTCATCCACTAGTTCACCTGGGTATAGAAGGATGTAAAGTTACCTTTCACAAATCCCTGCTGGCTGGGCCTGATGCAGTGGTTGTCCTGCACATGCCATGTGATGTACTCAATCTGTTCCATAACCTTCCCTGATACTGAGGCCAGACTTACAGGTTCCCTGGATCCTCCTCCCAACCCTTCCTGTAGATGGGCCACATTGGCCAACCTCTAGTTGTCTGGGACCTCCCAAGTTAACCACAATTGGTGACAAATTATGAAAAGTGGTTTGAGAGAGGGTAACAAATTTTTGGAGTTGTTTTGTGCAGGACCATAAGATAGATTCTGTGGTTCTTGTGGGTCCCTTCCAACTCAGTATATTCTAAGATTCTGTGATTTAAATCCAAAACTGCAACTCTGTGTGTGGACTGTAGAGGGGGAGATTTCTCACAAATCCTGAAGCAGCAGCGTACCACTTGCGAGCTGACAAGCATTTGATAAACTACTTTTTTTATGCAGAATCTTTTTTTGACACAAGAAGCCTCCCTCACCTTAGCAAATCCAGACCTGTGTTTACAGTCAGATTAGTCTATGTAGTAAACTATAGTCTATTTCAACAAGATGTGCATGAAATTACAGAGAGAAATGTGTGGACAACAGTTTTTTTCAGGGCTTATTCAAGGTACCTCATCATTTAGTGGTATCCCTTGTTCCATTTTCTTCTTATTCTCTAGAGGATGGTAATCGTCTGCATCATAGAATTTCCATCCCAACTAAGAAAATAATAAAATAGTTATGGGTCATTCAGCTATGTCAGGTGAGGCAACAATGACTTCATTATTTACAAAGACAACACCTAAGAAATTACAGGCTTCTTGCACCACAGTATGAATCACCGTTTATAGCATGATGATTAGGAAAAAAATCCAATCAACCAACCAATCAACCAAAAAAACCCCAACAAAAACAACTAAGGCAGCTTGGTAGCAGCAACAGCTGTTGCCCTGAGCCGAAGCCCGTGCCGGCGACACGGCACCAGCCAGACCCGGCTCGGGGAGCAGCAGCGCGGCGGGGCGGTCGGCCCGGCGCAGGGAGCTGCCTGCCCGCCCGGCACGCCTCCTACCTTCTCTGCCAGCCGCGACCCGACCGTGCTCCTGCGGGGAAGCAGAAAGGGCCGATTAAGCACCCGGACCCGGATCCGCGCCCGCACCGCGGGGCTCCGGCAGCGCCGCCGTGCCCGCCCCGCCTGCCCCCGGCACCTACTTCCCGGAGCCGCTGACGCCCATCACCACCAGCAGCACCATGGCGCCCGGCGCTCCGCCGCTGCCCTCGGCCTCTGCTGCGGAGGCGGGAGCGGGGCGGCCCCGGCCGGCCGTGCGGGAGCGGCCCCGCCGCCGCCTCCTGCCCCGCCGCCTCCTGCCCCGTCGCCTCCTCCTCCTGCCCCGCCGCCTCCTGCCCCGCC